ATAGCTGTTTCTCTCATAATATTTGCTGTAGATTTTGTAGGCTGTTATTGTCATTTCGTAGTCGCTGTAGCTGTAGTTATAGCTTGAGCTCGAGTATAGAGGCTGACGTCGTCGCTGGCGCCTGCGCCTCGCACGCAAATCCAGCTGACAATTTGAAATGCACACAGAAAACAGCTAAAGTGAAGGGAAGGGGTCTGCGAATGGGTTATATCAGTCAGTCATCGCGCATACTTGGGCGCTGAGTACGTGTTTTGAGTCAAAGCCAGAGCTAATGCGATGCGATGCAGCTGATATTGAGTCGAAGCAACTGACGGAGGGAAAAAAAAGGTTATATCATAGTTGTGCAGGTAGTTTTGCTATTGCTCATGGAGCGTAAATGATTGATAACTGAAACAGTTGATGAAGTGACCCAAAAAATAAAAATAAAATAGAAGAAAAAACCAAAACATATTTAAATCGTATCCAATTGGCATACAAAGCATTGCCATTGTGAAGTTCCCAGAAAATGGGTTGGGCTCTTGGGATATGGAGGATGAGTCAGTGAATGGCGGGTGACTGTGCCTGTGTCTGCGTTCCAAATATTTGAGCAACTAATCGACATAGCCGGCTGACTGTAGCTGCAGGGTAATTTCAATACTCACTTCATTCAACAACTAGTCAGACTAGGGAGAGGGAGAGAGAGAGACAGAGGAGCAGACTGAGTGAGTGAGAGCTATTCCCCAGAGCAGTTTGATTGTTAACATTCATTGACTAAACTCATTAAACAACTTTTTGGAAAGCTCGACTGGAAATTAATTTAAACTTGCGTGCGCCAACAGCCACAGCAAAAAGTGCGCCAGCCAGGCTGGCAAAACTTTCAGTTCGCTCGAATTCAATTAAAACTGCTGCCTCATGCCAGCTATGCGTATGCGTGATATTGCGCATACGACCCAAGGGCCGCAATGCCAACTGATAGTCGTTACAAAACTGAACTGTCAAAGGATTGTGGTGTCTACGGACAATGACATGCAACAACAACAACAGCAGCTGGCAGCTGTAACATCAGCATCAGCAAAAGCCAAATGGAATGCACAGCATTAACAACATGACTCTCACAATTTGGTTTTGCTGTGCAACGACTGCTGCACAGAACATTGCCCTGGCCGGGACATAATATTGAAGGCAACTGAAACAGCTCTGAGGCAGCGTCATGACGAGGCTCCAGGGGCAATAAGATTACCATGCAAAAAGTAAAGCACCAAAAACAAAAAGGAATAAAAGGGAAAAACTAACTAAACAGGACAATCTCAACTGGCACAGCCAAGCGGCATATTAGATGTGATATGGCTGTCATGTAAGCACTACGTGCTGCTGCGGCTCCTCCACGCTTTGCTGATAGCTAGCAGCAGGTGAAGCATGTGAATGGCGCACTGAAACTGAGCAGCTGAAGACGTGCAACTATCAGGGGGCAAGATTGCGTAGCACTTGTGTGGAAAAATGCGTTTAAAGCTGCTGCTGCTGCGGCTGCTGCAAGAAATGGAAACAATTTCTCTCTTTTTATTTTCATTTTAGCTCAGCTCCTGAAGCGCTCAAAGGCAGCTGCGATTGGCTGCTGGAGCAAAAAAAAACAAAAGCGAGGGAAAATAGCTCACAAGCTATGCCATGAATTCAAAATCAAATAAAAACAGTTGAAATGAAATGCAGTTGGCTTTATGAATGGCAAGTGTAGAGAGTGCAAAAGCAATACTTCAAGGAGCTCAAAATGAATATGCACGATGTCCTACTTAATATTTATAAATATATATGTATTTGTATGTGTATTTATGTGTATTTATTTAATGAGCGAGCATGCAGGAGAAATCTCATTTGCAGTTGTTTTTGGTCGTCTTCAGCTAACTTTAATTGGCAATGTTTTGGCTTATATTGGCAGACCCTAAATCTTCTGCTGCACTCTTTTATTTAGTCTGAGTTCGCTTTCATACCTGTATGATACGATAAATCTCTTGACTGTACTTCCTTCAGCTTCAGAGCAGTTCATAGGCAAGCATGAGCAAGAGAGCTATGTAAACTCAACTCTTAGAGAGCCCTCATATGTAGTACATAGAAAGTGAGTCTGTTTCATCTCAGTGTTCCTTGAGTTGAGTCTAGCAGAGCTCTCTACTCTGCATTGCCTGGGCCTGACTGTCACATACCCATTCATTCCTATTGAGAGTAAGCTGTTCTGTTTATAACATAGTTTTTCTTCAACAAATTCATATATGAGAGTAAGCTATTCGAATTCTAGAGTATTTTGTGGTCGATTTAGCTCAACTAACTCTCTAAATGTCTCCCTCTCTCTCTCTCTCTCTCTCTCTCTCTCTCTCTCTCTCTCTCTCTCTCCTCTTTAACACTCCATGCGTGCAAAAAGACTTCAATTTGGTCTGTATGTTGCGGTTATTTGCTGTGGTTCGATTAGCCATGGCAGGGCATGTGATCAATAAAATGCGCATAAATTAATTAAGAGCGGAAACCCGGCTAGCTATTGTATAGCAGCTATGTCTGTTTATGCTTAGGAATATATTATATAGAGAGCCAATACATTTGGGTACATGATTGTTTAATGAAACCGCAAACCTGAATTTAGTTTAACATTTCTTTGTGCTTCGTGTCGTTGTTTTTATTTTGTTTGCCTATTTTCAGTTTTTGCTGGAATTTATGCTAATTATTGGCACTAGGAACTTCAATTAGCCGCCTGCAACTTAATTAACTATGCCCAGAACGGGTTAACCAAAACGGAGTTCAGCTAGTGGGAGAGCAAGAGGAAGTCGTTTATTAATTCTCTTTCCTATATTTCGATTTGTTTATATTTATTTTGAATAAGCTGGTGGCTCGCTGTGCGAGCTGTAAGAATAATGTCGACAATTTGTTAGGCTATCAACCGGTTTGCGAGCAGCCAAAATAGCGAACCTAATAATCCAAAAGCATTTCGAAGATTTATGTGGCAGCTGTTCGCATTGAACCCCCGTCAAGAGGTTAACACCAAATGATGCTGCTTTTCGCTTTCAATTGATTGGATTGGCTGGCTGGCTGATTGATTGATTGACGGACTGACTGGCTGACGTCTTGAGCGAGTGAGGAGTGATGTGTGGGCGCTTATCTCAATTAAGAGCCCCACACACGCACACTCAGCTAGCTTCCTAATTTTGCTGAGTGCTGATTGAGTGATCTTTCGAATATTTGTTTTCATATTCTCTGTTTACATTTATTAGTAATTTGTTAATTTCATGTCGTTAGCCTTTTGCCAACTGCATATTAAGTTATCAGCATTGGAAGTTTGGCAACATTTTTGCGAGGTTTTTGAACTATGATCAGCTTAGCACGAGTCTTCAGTGTGTGCTCAAGGCTCATTTAAATTCTACGCAAAACCAACTACATACATCTGCTGAACACGCCCTTAACTCATTTATCAACAGCAAAACAACAAAAAACTTTTGGTCATTTCTCAACTTCAGTTATACAAAGAATTATAAAAATATTCTAAAGATCTTGTGACTTGGTCTTCAATTTTTTTATGTTTGATTTTATGCAAGGCTATAAAAATCAAAGCAGAGGATGTGAGGATATTGGCTAGCATATATCATGTATATACCCTATAAGGCTTAGCTTAAAGTGGGTATACAGAATGAGTTGTCTACAGAAGAATCTTAATATGTGGATTGTGAGGTTCTCTCTTATTACTAATACTCCTCTATTTTACTGAACAGAAGATCCTTAATGTTAACAGAGTAGCTAAGCAGTCTGCCTACCCCATCTTTTATAGTACTCATAAAACTCAGAGTTTCATAAGCCTTTTGGGCTTCGCTGATTGATATGTTTCGTGTGAGTTTTTATCATTTACGATTTTGCTTTCCGGGAACTATGCGGAGAGTTTTAAAAATCAAATTAAAAACACATTTTCGTGCGACCCAAAACCGAAAGTGACTTCATCGCCAATGCAACTCGCTGCCGACGCCGACGCCGATGCTGATGCTGTAATAAATTTAGATATTTACATAAATATCAGCCTAAGCTGGCAAAGGCAAGTTCAAGATCAAGGTCAGTGAGACGCAATGGGCCATGCAGGCACACACACACACGCATACACACAAATACATATATCAGATATAAATTGTCAACGAATGCCATTTGAATGCTGTCTCCCACTGAGAAGTGCAATGAAAAGACGCTCATAAATCACTCAACTATCGCCCACTTACGCTCATATGGGCGAACAACAGTTTTACGAGTCGATTTACAAATTGTTGTGGGTGGCGTCAACTCATTGCTGTGCAGCACCATGAAGGCATCAAGTATATATTATTTAAATGTGTATAAATAAATATATATCTGTTTATTCATGGCAAGCAAACTGACAACAATTACCAGAGTAACTGAGCCATAGGCCCATGGCCAATGTCAGCCAATCGTCTGCGACGTCATCGTTGAGGAATTCGCCGTCGACTCTCAGCTGCCTCGCGACTGGCGACAGTCGCAGTGTCTGCCGAAGTCGTCAAGCGAGTTATGCGTAGCAATTGGCTTGGGATTACAGCCTGGGCCCGGCGGCACTTTTAATTTATGTGCGCTTACAACAGCAATAAGAACAACAACAACAACAAGCTAAATAACATATGATTAGCAGCAGGAATGACGCATTGCAGTCGGCAATTCGCTTGGCCAAACGGCAGCAACAGCTGAGCCCAACCGACTTGAATGGCTCAATTATGTGACACAATCACAGACTGGTGCACATAGTAATGAAAGAGCACGGCGAAAGCTGCATTGAGCGGCAATATATTGATATAGTATATCTATATCTACAAATATGCCAGACTAGCTATTTCCGCATCTTATGCACTTCTTTATCAGGTGCTTAACTTTATTTATCATTCACTTATTTATAGCCTTCAGTCATTTCCTTATTAGCCTGCACTGTTTGCACATTTAAACTTGTGCAATTAGCTTAACTCAGTTCTTACAGCTGACTAAATAAAATTACTCAAATGGAAATTCAACAGATGCGAGAAGTTGTTTTCTAAGCAACTCTGATTCATCAAATAAACACAGTTAGCTTTGACATTTCTGTGAAGTGCATTAAGAATATTCAATTGCTCAAAAATTGTGTGAGGCCCAATAGAAATTTGCGTACCGATCGCTGCATACCGATATTGGAAATTTCGCTGCAGCCGAAAAGTATGCAATAAAAATTTTACGCTGCAACGTCGAAGCCTGGGAAATAAAACACTAGAAAAACCTTTCAGACTGACTGCAACTCTGATCATGGCGCTAATTGTGTGTGTCTGTGATTATTGGAACCATCGCCACTTCTACAATCGGCCCGTGCCTGATCGCTTTCAAATGCTCTGCGGCGGCGAGGGCAACACGACGGTCAAGACGGAGCCTGTGCGTCGCTTGGTGCTGGAGCTGGATGCAGTGCGTGGCAACTATGTGCTGCGTGAGCTGCTGCAGCAGCGTGTGCTGAAGCAGTGGCTGTTGCGAGAACTGGGCGTTCGGCTGGTCTGGCTGAGATTTCAGATGCCACAGCGCTGGTCCATCGACTACAAGTGGGCGGAGATGATGGCGCACACTATTTGGACGCACATTGAGCTGGAGCACCTGATGTGCTGGCTGTCCACGCTGGGCGGTGGCTACTCGGCGCTGGGCGATCAGTTCGCCAGGTATGCACAGACAGCGGGTGAGATCTCACTGCAGCAGCTGGCGATTGGCCTGCGCCTGGGCGATCCCTTCCTGCAGGCGCGTTGCAAGCTCTACTACAGCATCTCCTTGATACAACGCGGACAGCTGCGCAGCGCCAAGTTCCTCATCCGCGCTCAGTACCGCTTCGCCTGTGGATTGCACAAGAAGCGCGACAAGCGCCTGATGCGCATGTGCCTGGGCGTCTGGGGGCGCCTCTGCTACGAGTACGAGCAGAGACAGAAGCAACGTCTATCAATTGAAAATGGAAAACGATTCGAATGAGATCATTTGTTATTCGATATTGAAATGGAATGTGATTAGTTCTAGGAATAAAATGTATTTTACTTGATTGAGATGGAGTTTATTCTTGATATACATATAAAGTTAACGAGGTAGATTAAGGGAGTGATCTAGAGAGGGATATATAGTTGAAGACTAAGAGAGAGAGAGAGAGAGAGTGAGAGAGAGAGTGAGAGAGAGAGAGAGTGAGAGTGAGAGAGAGAAATATATATACAATATAAATAAAAATAGAGAACGATAACGAGTTAGAGCGTGAGAGAGAGAGGGAGGGAGAAAGATGAATTAGCCAAAAAGAGAAAGAAGTACGAGATAAATTGATAGAGATTGGGACTACAAGGGAGAAATATAAACAGAAAGACATGAGCCCGCATAGAGAGAGAGGCACGGAAAGCGAGCGAGCGAGGGAATGCACGCAAAATATTGTTTACATATTAATAGAGTAGAGCTCAACCATAAGTATATAGTGTATATATTATAAGTAAAGTAAATGACAATATAAACTAACGAGAGGAACTGTAATAATGCATAATAAGGCCAAAAGCTAACTCGTCCAGTTATGTGTCGACTGCCTGTTTGAGCTATGTATTGACACAAGGGCTTAGACATGTTAATAAGCCAAACGGAAACATTTATTGATAATGCTGGCAAATGCGCAAGTAATGCTGCTTGACAACTGACATGAAGCGTTAATCGTTTGGCCAGTGATTAAAAGTTAATATTAGATTAGTCAGCCACAAAATGACAGCATGAAACGAATTTAAATCAGAGCTTGAATGCCATTTGATATTTATGGACAGCTTAAACTATATGCATATCGAGTGGTGTGCGTCACGCCCAATGGGCCAAGGCAAACACAGGCAAATCAAACAAAAACAAAATAGAATGCAATTGGCAAGAGCAACAGCAACAGCAACAGCAGTAGCGGCTGGCCAATTGCTGAAAGTGCTAAGTGGTAAACCACACAAACACACACACACAGGTAGAGCTAGCTAAATGAGAGAACAAAAGCGTTGACCAAGCCACGAGCTTGGGCTCGGTTAGTGGCCAGCTGCGAGTGCTTTTTGGTCAGTTAAACGAGCGTCAAATTTGTTTATGAATGAGTCGTTAATAAATCACACAAATCCATTCACGAATCTCTCGCCAGCTCAATTTGTCTTTGCGTCGGCGTCGCCTCATCCATCAGCGGAAACGCGAGCTGCTATTATTTAATTTTTTTTTTTTTTTTTTTTTGCATGAAATCAACATATGATAAACAGCATTAGATGTGCCAGGAGTTGAAAGAGTTCAGCATCTAACAAATGTTTCACCATCAACTATATTTGTTCTTTATTTTTATTTTTTATTATTGCAGCAATGTAAAAAGTTGCCAAGCGGCTGAAACGAGCGAATAAGGAAAATAAATTGCATGCCCAGCAAGCAACAACAGCAGCAACAGCAGCTAGAATAAACAGCAACAACAACAACAATCACAACCACTACAAGGAGTCATTAAGCGTGCAACATGAGCAGCAACCGCAGCCGCATCATGTTGAGCTGCCTAGCTATTATTACCTTAGGTTTATGTAAGTAAATTACGCATACGACCCGTCGTGCATGCAGCAGCAACTAATTATAATCATACTTCTGCCTCCATTACAGTGACGTCCACATGCCAGGCGCAGCTGCATATGAGCGCTTCCAGCGCCGGTGTCAGCTTCGACGGCGGGCCAGCACCACAGAGCGCCGATGTGGCCGTGCAGGCCGCCAGGCCGCACAATCGTCGCATGTACGCCATGTGCCCGCCGCAGTTCCAACGCGTCGGCACCGACTGCTACTCCCTGGTCGACCAGCGCAGCAGCTGGCTTGAGGCCTACTTCTTTTGCAAGGATAAGAACGCCAATCTCGCCGAGCCCGGCAAGAATGCGGACCGCAAGCTGAGAATCTATCTGGAGCGTGTGGACTCGCAATCCGGCGGTAAACCGACTAAATTGCTCAACTTTGACTTCAACTTATACAAACTTCCACTTGACATTTTACAGAACACGATCCCATTTGGATTGGCGGCACCTACGACCATCGCAACAAGCACTGGCAATGGAGCACGAGTGGACGCAATCTGACCTACGATGCGTTCAGCCAAATGGACTCGACGTACGTATGCAACAACATACTGATTGTATTTTGTAGTTTATTTAGCGGGTCGTTAATCTTCAAGCAACTATTTTAGCTATATGCAACTTATCTCCAACAGCAAGCCATTGGACAATAACTGTGCCGTCTACGATCCGAGTTTGAAGTATCGTTGGTCGGCACGCTCCTGTCCGGACAAATTGCGTTTCATCTGCCAGCACAAGATGCCGAAAGTGAGTGAGGCCAATCGGTATAAGATCTACAATCGCTGGAATGAAACCTATCCCAATCAATTGGCCAATGAGGTTGTGTTGGAGGTCATCAATCGACGTGGCAAGGACAACAGGTACGCAAAATAGAAACATAAGAAGAAGAGTCGACTCATCGGGCAGCTGAATATTGTATCCAGCTTAAGCTGTTTCCTGAGCCGTCTGCGGACTGCCACTGGGCGCATCTTCTGCCTTCTCCTTGGCCGCTTCTTCTGCCCTCTCCTTGGCCGCTTCTTCGGCCTTCTCCTTGGCCGCCTCTTCTGCCTCCTCCTTGGCCGCATCTTCGGCTGCCAAATACTCATCCCATTTGGATAGACGCTCCTGTGCCTCTGCTGCCGATTCATCAATTCTGCAAGCAAATTCATTTATTAAAGACTTTGTCTATTTTAATTGGAATAGTGCCACTCACTTGTATTTGGTCTTGCCATCCCAGTGATCAGCGCTGAGCTGGCGCTGTCCAAAGTATCGGCCCTGCATCATTTGTATGACCATGTCGGCTTCCTCTGGCGTGGACATATTGATCTGAGCTATGCCCTCGGGATGGCGCTGCAATGACAATAAAATTAGTTAACTACAGCATATAACGGGTCTTCTGGAGCCACTCACATCATAGATCACAACTTTGCGCACCATGCCGCATTTGCTGCACTCCTCACGCAGACTATTTTGATATTCCAGGATGAGCTCCACCTCCTTCTCGAACAGCTCCGGCGTGAAGAGATTTTTAATGATGACCGTTTTCTCGTTCTTTGAACGCTCGCCACGCATTTTATCAGGTCGCCAATCGAACAACCTGCGAATGAATAAATCAATATGTGGGAGTCCTTTTACTTAAAAGCTTTTGCTACTTACTTTTCCTTGATTTTCTGCAACTTTTCCTTGTCCTTCTTCTTGCGCTTGGGCTTGAGTGCCGGATTATATTCGCCGCGCATTTGAAACTGCGCCCGCTGCACGTGAATCTTATGGCCGCGCAGATTGTAATCATCCAAAATCTCCAGAGCCAAGTTAACAGACTCCACCTACAAATGAAAAAAGAAATATTTAATATGAAATTTCCTATATATATTAATTTTAGTTTAGTAACTAATTAAAGACTAATTGTTTGTGCGCAGATATCATCGCCGCGTTAAGGCCGAGGGCAGCAACGAGGAAATGATTATTCCCGCTCGCAAAAACCGTCCGGCCAATCGCCGCTATCCGGGACGCAATCGCCAGCAGCAACATCCCAACGACATCAACTATCAGCAGCGTCCACGCAAGCAGCGTCCACGTGTGAGCACCACTGTGGCGCCTGCTCCGCTGGTAATCAGCAAGGACGTCACATCAACGATTGCCACACGCCCGAGCGCGCCCACCACACAGCAACAGATGACGGCCTACGATCGCATCCTGCAGCGCCAGCGCGAGAAGGAGCGTAACCGGCAGCAGCGCAAACGCGAGCGCAGACAGCGCATGCGCCAGGAGAGACTCGAGCGACAGCGCAAGATGCGTGAGGAGAAGCGCCAGCGCAAGCAGGAGGAGGAACACCAGCGACAACAGCAGCAGGAGCGTGAGCAATTGCAGCAACAGGAGCCGCCGAGCGAGCCGGAGGCACTGCGTCAGCGCGCCATTGAGGAGCAGCAGAAAAAAGAGCGCGAGCAGCGAGAGCAGCTGGACAAACAGGAGAAGCAGCAGCGCAAAGAGCAGCAGGAGCGCGAACTGGAACGGCTAAAGCAGCAGCACGAGATTGAGGAACGCCAACGTGCCAAGGATGACGAGGCGCTGCGATTGCGTGAGCAGCGACTGCAGAAGCAGCGAGAGCTGGAGGCCGAGGAGAAACGAGCTCGTGAGGAACTACTGCGCAAACAGAAGGCTGAGCAGGAGGAGGCCGATCGCCGTTACGCGGCGGAGCGTGCCGCCGAGGAAAAGCGTCTGCGCGAAGAGCATGAGAAGCGACTGCAGGAGGCCAAGTCGGAGCAGGAGCGCCAATTGCAGGAGGCGCGTGAGGCAAAGCGTCGCGAGCAAAAGGCCATTGAAGAGCGATTGAAAGAGCAGGAACGCCAGCGCCAAGAGCAAATACGTCGCGAGCAGCAGGAAGAGGAGAAGCGTCTTGAGCTAGAGCGCCTAGAGGAGGCGCGCCGCTTCGAGCAGCGCGAACTTGAACGCCTGCGCGAAGAAAACGAGCGACGTGAGGCGCGCCAACGCCAACGCGAGGCAGAAATCGCACAGCGCGAAGCCGAGGAGCGCAAGCTGGCCGAAGAAGAGGAGCGACTGCGCCAGGAACTGCAGGAGGAGGAAAAGGCACGTAAACGCCAGCTGGAACAGGAAATCGAGCGCGCCGAACAAGAGCGCAAGCAGAAGGAGGAAGCTGAAAAGGCAGCAGCCGCAGCCAAGGCAGAGCAGCAGAAACAGAAGCTGGAGGCAGCCAAACGGATTGCCGATGCCGAAGTCGCTGCCCAGCTGGAGGAGAAGCGTCGCCAATACGCCGCTCGCATTGGCGCTCTGAGCAAAGAGGATCAGCTGAAGTTCATTGAGATGCGGAAGAAGCGCAAGCAGCTGCGCGAGAAGGAGATGAAGGCCAGAGAGCAGAAGAAGCTCAAGCGGATACAGGAGGCCATCAGGCTAAACGAGATGCAGTAAGGCACACACAAACACACACACATACACTCACAGGCACACTTACCTATACTAA